GCGGGCCACATGTGGCCCGCGGGCCTTGAGTTTGACACATGTGACTTAGAGCCTTAAGTTTTTGTAAAGGTGTAGATCTGTGACACTGAATCAAACTCATATCTAAGCAACATTTGAATCTTAGTTTGACTCTATGGGTCTCAACAGGTTGTTTACTGAGAAAAACTCTTTTTTTTCATTGCTACTTACTAGTCATTTTTGGTGGTGCAGTTTGGACACACACAAAAATAAAATTAAACCACATTTTACATTACATTTTACCATAACTTTGCCATTACAAGAAATCTTTCCTTGCCAACAGCCATTCACTATCTACAACAACTCTTTGAAAAATTTGAATTAATATGAGTACAACAACATTTAATTTCCCCTTGGGATCAATAAAGTATTTTTTAATTGAATTGAATTTGAATACAATCAAAATAGATGTTTTTACAGTTTATTTCCACACATTCTAAGTGTTCTCTGAGGACTCATCAAACAGAAGAGAGTCATTGGTTAAGTTTTGTTTGTAGATATTTCCTTCTTCTAAATATTTACAAAGAAAACTTAACCAATGCAGGTTCTGTTAAATAGCTAAATGTCATAGTGTTTCTGTTAGTGTGACTGATTGAATTTGTACACAGCAAATGCAATGACATTTGATCAGTCTATATTAGTGTTTGATATAATAAGAGGTAAACATACCAATAAAATCTGTTTTTTTCTCTGTTGGCAGTGCCCAAAGAGCCTTCCTCTGGCGATGTGTCTGCAGCAGAGCAACTGAGTGACGTGAGGCCTTGTGCTGTGCTAGAGTACACCGTGTAACGGAAATGTGTCATTGGACGCATGGAACATGAAGTTCTTTCTTTGTTTATGCTGGCAGAAGCCTTAATGACAGCCCCACAGCAAGACAATACATGTCTAACTGGTAGAATACATATCTACCAAAACAAAATATTTTTGCTACAATGTTTCTGAAATTTAATTTAAACAACAAAAGTCAGCTAAGTGTAATCATTTAAATGCACATGCATACTAGAAAACCAGTGGGTGATGCTGTGCTGCAGCACAATTTTAGTTGCAAAACCCCCCAAAAATAAAACATTTAATCAACATTCAACCAATCTCACTAACCAAGAACAAAAGTGGAAATTAAATAATTGAAAACAAAACACATCCTGGGAACTTCTTTGCTTTGAACATTCATTTCCAGTGGATATCCAATTGTATCCAATATGTATCTATATGGACTGTTTTCATTTATATTAAATAATTTTAAACCCTCTAATAAAAAACAATACATATATTTACAATATATATTTACACACATATATGCATGGTTCATTATGAAACCATGCACCCATTTTAAAATGTGCACCTTAAGTCTTATACAGTCATTAAGCTCACATAACAGTCACCACATTAAAACAGTTTACAGGTAGTGACTTAAGTTCATCTGAGTGCCATTTGTTAGTTAAACAAACACATATTTCTTTATTGCTATCACAAGTCACAGTTTGCAGTTAAGTAACTTGAGATGTAGCCAGACAACAATCCAAATTCTCGCTGTCTGCGAGTGTGACAGATTCATTCCTCATTAACTAACCCTGTGAAAATCATAAACACTATAGAGTAGATCAAGCTCTCGCTAGTCCAATTTAGTAAAAGTTTTTTTTTTTAATAACTGCAATAAATTCCTCTCCACCACACCCTTTTAAATAGTAAGCATAGCGAACATAGAATTGAGGAGAGACTTTGTCAGCAGAAGAGCAAGCGTGTGTGTGGGGGGGTGGCGTATGTTTAAATGCTGCTGCCTCAAGCAATGTACAACTGTTGTCTTTTTTAGTTGTCCACCTGAAACCAAAGTGTCATTACTATTAGGTGTACTAGTTATTTCCAAGTTTCACTCATTTGACCCAAATTCGTCTCTCATCTGAGAGACAGAGGAAGTTATTGGGACGGTACAAACAAACTACAAAAAACGCTGCTAGGAAGAGTGGTCAGATATCCATGTGGTATTTTGACAGTTGATATCTGGCTAATAAATGTTTAAATTAAATGTACTTGTACAGTTTATATAAGTATAAACTGTATAAGTAAAAAATCTATTTGTTGATCCACAATGAATTCAGATTTGTGCAGCAAAGTCTAGTTTTTAAAAATCTCTATATACATTATTCTATCCTGGAATAAGAATAGGTTAAATAAATCACTAAAAGCACAAAATAAATATGCAATGTTTGGATACATTCTAATCAGAAATTTATACAAATGGTCATTACCTCTACTGAAGAAGTCATTTAGAGGTTAGTTTCACGGAAGAAGACATACAAGCAAAAACAAAAACGATATTCCATTACATTATGACTTGCAGGCTTTGAGACTCATTATGGCAAACTTGGACAGTTTTGCTTTAAAATGCAGCTTAGATTTAACACACAAGCAAAATTTAAACCTAAGGGTAAATTTCCACCCATTCATTCTTGTTACTATTAAGCAGAAACCATCTTTTCTTTCAGTTAGGATGCCCAAGTGATTTTTATTTCTTCTAAAGAACACACTTAAAATACATGATGTAATATTTAACCATTCATGCTCACACACATGGTGATAGTGGCAGTCTGACAGAAGCCAGGCTGCCAATGCACTGATGCCACTGAACTTAAAATGTGCTTTAAATGAACAGACAACAGTCATGATAAATATTAAATTATAATGGTTGCACGAGTAGTGTGTGATCAACTCACAGCAATGAGGGAAACTTTCATATCACATCATCATATTTTTTTCTTCAGTCAAAGTGCAAGATTAATTGCTACCAGTGGCTTGTCATCCACATATTATGAGGATACTCAGATAATGAGTCACAACATTTCACTTCCCTTTGGGATAAGTTTAGTATTTTTTAATTTGAATTGAATTTAGTGTCATTATGCATCTTGAACAACTCTTCTAAGGTGAAACTGAAACAAACACTTTCAGACATGTTGAAGAGCAGAAATTATGCCTCATTTTAGACATTTCTTTATTCAAAAAATGACCCATAGGGTTCCATACAAAAATAACTCAGAAAGCATTGCAAATATACAGTATTTCACAACAAACTCATTTTGGGCCCTGAAAGTTCAAAAATTAAAGAATCAGAACAAAGTAGACGTTACTGTGAAATGCCTTCTTAGACAACTGCAAATTACATACAAAGCTTGTGTCCACATAAGGTGCTTTTACAAGAAAACAATCTGGGCCAGTTGCCACTTGAATGAATTTTGGCACTTGCAGTGTTAAATGGGAGTCAAATATACAGACATTTTTAACAAAGTGGATTTTTATCCCCAGGAAATATTTTGCTTTTACATCAAAAACCAACAAGCATCAAACAAGATTAAGTCAAGAGTTGTGGTATAAAATGTGGCTTAAGTGGATGCTCAAAACACTGGCATACATGGAAAAAAGAATGCTGTTTATGGTTCTTTTATGCCTGTTAAAAATTTGTTCCCAACAAATTCTTTACAGTACTGCAACACTAACAAAATAGTGAGCCTTCCTCTAAATTCTCTTAAAAATCCAAGATTTGATTGGAATGACAGAGATTCATAATTAAAAGAAAACAAGTTATAGCAGGCTGGGGTCTGACACATCTGATGCTCGAGCCCCACAGTCTTAAGAAGGAAGAGCTTACTCAGAAATGTAATGTGCCACAGAATCTATGACATCAGGCCATATGCCCAACAAGCACCAGAAGGAAGACTTTGGATCAATATAGGTGATGAAGCACGGTGATAAGCAAAATCTTTCTCTTTATCTTTATATCCCACCATCCCATTTCATATGGTGTGGGCAACTCAACTCTTAGTGCCTTTGAAGAACAGTCAGTGAGTGCTTGAATATATCTCCAGGATCCCCACTGATGAGCTTCAGCAGACAGGAAGCATGACTGAATTACCATTGTACTCCTCCTCTGTCTGGAAAAATAAGAAATAAGCACAGTTTAGTTCTGGTTTAACTGTGTCTAACCTCAAAGTGCAAAGCCTGAAATTCACTTTTTTAAAAAGGGGTGAATACACCTATAAATTAAGGAGCACTTTGATTTAAAAGGATATTCTCTTGAAAAAGAGAATATCCATTTTTAAAAGTGAATTGGGGAAGTATTGGGGGGATTTATACTTTTTAGGAGGTAGGTCTAATACACAGTTCTAATTTGTCTCTTTTTTCCTTCCTGGTCGTTATTTACTCTTTTGGTTTTCTCTCCTTCACCGCTTCTACTTCAAAACAAATGGAATTAAGGAAATACATATTTGTAAGCATGGAAAACTATTCAAAGAAAAATTGGTACAACTTGTGAGATTAAATGTGGATGTTGTCTTTTGTTTAACACATTAGTTACTGTTCCTTTCTTGCCTATTGCTTATCACAGCTGCACCTGAGGAACTATTACATTACTATAATTTGTTGTCTCTTTTCCCAGTTTTTGGACTGCATCTTTTTTGTGAATCCTTTTTTTCTTGCATCCACCTTTTCCTTCTCCCCTTTTTCTTCTCTTTTCAGAATAATAAAAAGTAACCAATTTTTAGTATGCCTTTGGACGACATTTCCTGAGAAAACTGCAATAAAATTAGAAGTAAATGAATTGATAAAGTAATTAAGGTGGCAAAAAGAACACTCCACAAGTAAGAATAAGATCTTTTCCAACTTAAATCTTTGGGGGAAAAAATGAGAATAAATAGAAACATTTTATTAAATAATTACGAAATATAAAAAAATATAAACTGAAATTAATTAATAGCAACATAAATATAATTAGAAATTAGTGATAATGTAAATTAATACTGTTAATACTGTTGAAAATGATAAAGAATTTCCACTTTATGTCAAGATGTATAAATCAAATAAGTTGGGAAAGTTCTCTTTAATTTTTGGGACAAAGATTAAGATGAACTACTTAGTCAAGCCAGTGATTTATTTCTATTTTTACTGCTAATTTTGGCAGGATCATTCATCCAAATGTTCATCAAGTTAACATTTTTTTGGCTAGTTTTTGCAAATGGAGATTCAACACTGCTGCAACATTTTAGCATTGTTGCTTTAGCTACATACGGATATAACGGATATGATATCCGTTAGCCTGAGCCAATAAGCCTGAGTCAGGCTAACATGGGCCTCCTTGGAGGAAATTACAATTTCCATAATATAAAAACTAGATTTGAGGAATCTACTATATAATGTGCAATACCAAAAGTCCTGCAGTGAATATCAGGCATCGATGTCTAATGATGTCACTAAGCGAACCAACTTGTCTT